GGAAATTATAAAGTCAGGGTAAATGTAACCAGGCATGGTGGTACATCAATAATCCCAGCACTTGGGAGGCTTGTGAGTTTGAGGTCAGCCTGGACTACACAATGAAAACCTGTCTCAAACAAAACAAAACAAGCAAACCAAACAACAACAAAGAAAAACAAAGATAAATGAGGACTGCTGTGTTTCCAAATCCTGAACCAAAGAAGTCTGCTTGGGCTGGAAATCACAGCTGCTTTTCTTTGTCAAGAGACCCACAGGCAAGACTGGGGCTCCATTCCCACTGGTGCTCAGATAGCACCATGTCTTACAGTGCTAAGAGAGCAAGTTTTCTTAGTTCTGTGTCCATGGTATCAATTACTGCAGTTTTTACAGATTAATATTAATATGACAAGACACAGGTGAAGATTTGATTGAGGTAGCAAGAAAGAATAGATGTGAAAGTCTAAAGTAAGGTGCCAGAGCAAGAAACAAATCTTTGAAGAAAGTTTAGTCAAGGTCTTGGTACTCTTATAAACCCTTCACTCCAAATAGGATCATAAAAGATGAGGGAGTCATCTTTTAGGAAAGGATCAGTGAAGGAATTTTCTTTGAAGAAAGCAATGCTGAGTCTCATAATCACTCTGTTAAGATTTTGTCCTTAATCTCACTAAAGGAGGCCTCATTAGGATCATGAGAGCAACTTTATTCCTTCACTCTGCTATTTGGAGTGTCTAACAATGACCTTACCTTATCTATGGGTGGAGTGAGGTGGGGGAGAGAGAATGCCCTGAGCATCTGTTGCCCTACTGTCCATGCATGACTGTTTCCTGAGGACCACATGAGAGCCATTCATTAAGGAAAGCTGAGCTGGAGATGTTTAAATTCTCCCAAGAAGAACACATGGAGAGGGTAAGGAACATTCCCAACCCCTTACCCCCAACTCTGGCCCCCAACAGGATATGTACAAAGTGGCCTGCAGGGAACCAGACTAAAGGGGAAGTGACAGCCAGAGAACATTGCACTGCCCAGATCCTAAGAGGTACAGTCAGATGTTTGAAGTGCAGGTCTCTAAGAATGTCTGAAAACACCCGAGAGGAGAGGTACAAGCTTTAGTCAGTCATTGGCCAAACTCAGAGGACAGCCCTCCTGGCAACAGTACCTGTCATGCATGAACATGGACTCTCCGAGTTTCTCCTTGCATTATAAATGCGGGGTGGGGAGGATCTGTTGCTGTATTTTTTGATCATACCTCACTGTCAGCTGTGTGTACTGAGAAACTTTGACACTTTTTAATTTGCATCATTTTCTCTTTCTGACTTTCCCTTGGGAAGCTAGCCCTCCTCCTATATAGGTATCTGCTAGTGTTGGAAGTTCAGCTGATAAAGAAAAAGAAAACCATGCTAAGAAGTAGAAGGAGACAGTGGAAATAGTTGAAAAGATCATTACTTCAATAGCTTTAATCTGCTTAGGCAGGAGGAATACTGTTAACCATTACTATCCTAAAAGGAATGTCATGGGTAAAGGTGGGAATCTTCTTTTCCAGGACTTTTGTTGAAGGATGAGAAAATGATGATATGAAACAATTGGCCTTTCTCTTCTCATAATTTGCTCAGCTCCTATGCATTCAGTATTATTACTAGTTGGATATTTGTTTCAATATTCTGGATCCACATGCAAGCCTGTGATGTAGGGAACGTTAATCTTTTTATGTTTGTTTATTCATTTATTTATTTTTGAGTCAGGATTTTGCCATGTTGCCTAGACTGGCCTTGAGTACCTGGGCTCAAGGATTCTCCAGCCTCAGCCAAATAGCTGGGACCATAGGTGTGCACCACTACTTTTTATGTAATAGCCACTATAGCTTTGCATTATGTTTCTTTCTCCTTGTTAGGTGACCAATGCTGCTGTATTGTTCTCTAGGCCTGGGACACTGTCCCTGTTCACTGGGATGAATTCTACTCATTCTTCAGCTTATTCCTCATTTCTTTCAGGATGATTTTCTGGGCTCATTCAAGATTGTGTGCTCACGAAACCTGTAATTCTCCATCATCTGTATGGTAATAATTTGCTTCTAGATTCATCAGTGTCTGTGTCCTTTTCATTGTTATATCCCCAGACATGAGCCTGGCAAATAGTAGCTTCTTCATCAATCTATGCCTGATGGGACTGATTAATGACAAAAAACAAAATAAAACAGAAAAAAACAGTGCTTTTACTCCAACATAAAAGTACTTCATGTTACCCTTGTTAGAAATGCTTGTAATAAAGGGAGGTATGAGGATAGGTAAGACACCCAAAAAACTAGATAGCAATTGTTGCCCTCAATGCAGAGAAACTAATGCAGATACTTTAAAGCGACAGAGGCTGATAGGAGAAGAGTACCAGGAGCTAGAGAAAAGGTTACATCAAAAAGAATTAACCTAGAAGGTAACACACATGCACAGGAACTCAATGAGAGTCAACTCCCTGTATAGCTATCCTTATCTCAACTAGCAAAAACCCTTGTTCCTTCCTATTATTGCTTATACTCTCTCTTCAACAAAATTAGAGATAAGGGCAAAATAGTTTCTGCCTGGTAGCAAGGGGGTGGAGGGGGGGAGACGGGAGGGAGCAGGGGAAAGGGGTAGAAATGACCCAAACATTGTATGCACATATGAATAAAAGAAATTAAAAAAAAAAGAAATGATTGTAATAAAGCACAAACTAATTATCATAGTCTGGTGCTACTCCCTTTAAAGGCCAGCCTATACACATCTCTGTTCCTCCTCTCCATTCCTGGAACACATGGCTTCTCTTCTTTACTCAGGGCCAATGCCCTAGCTGTTGTTTCGGTCCCAGAGCTTTGCAAAGCTGCTGTTCTCTTACTTAGGTGGCAACGTGGATCTTAGAACATTTTTCCTTAAAGTATTTCTTTCTCACTTATCAAAATAAAGTATCTCCCTTATTCTCCCGGCTACTTTTTTTTCTTTTTCCCCCCCTTATTCCAATCTGTGAATTTATGTTTACTGGCTTACAATCTGTCTTCCACTGATAAATGCAGCTTTAAGTCTGACTTGTTCATGGCTATACTTTGAGTCTTTATTATTAGATGATTAATATTGACTGCATGTCAATTTACTCATTTGATGAACAAATGAACAAAAGAGTAATGTTAGAGATATTACATTTCTTAATTCTGAAGTAAAAATTTAGTGGTTTCATCATTATTGTAAGAAAGACTTGGAGAGTGGAGAGTGTTCTCCATTTGGTCATGCTAGGGAACGCTAAGTTCCTCTTTTTTCTTACATAATAAGAATAATTATATCTCAATACTAAATTACTTTCTCAGAGTCCTTACCACAGGACACATATCTTCAGACCATTGTTTAGGATCCCACTTATTACAAAAGTTCTATAAAAACTCTTTATTACATAATGAGGTTACTCTGCCCTCCGAAGAACTTTACCCTTTTCTCAGGAAATAAGAGAGAAAAAGGATTTGTTCTTTTTCTTTGAATCAACTTTTTTGTCCTTACTTCTTTTCAAGCTTATGTTTAACATTCCTTTCCTTCCTTAAGTCTGATTTTTGTCAATCTCCATTTTTTCACTATTATACAATTCATGAAGTTGTTGGAGGAAATGCTTCATTTCTTTTCTTTTTTTTTTGTTTTTGATACCGAGTTTTGCTATGTGGCCCAGGCTGGTTTCCAACTCCTGATCCTCCTGCTTCTGCCTCCCCAGTGCTAGGATTACAGATGAGCACCACTACACCCAGTGAAATTGCTTAATTTCAAGTAGTCTCATTTTAGAAACTCATGGCGATGATAAGAACAACAAACAGGACGGTGAGGCAGTTAGAATTGTTCTAGAGTGGTTCCTGATTGAGATTTGCTCCATCCTCTTTTCTAAGATATTTTTTTCTTTTTCAAATATATCCTATATTAATTGCACAAAGGGGTTTTATTGTCATAATTCTATAGGGCATCATCCGCTTTTAAAATGGGTCAGATGGTTGAAGTTGAGGGTTTTGTTGCTCTCACTGTGGGTTATTGGTCCCTATCTCAACCCTTCCACCTTCCTCACTTTAACGTTCACCATCTCTGTCACATCATGTCACTCTAAATTCTTCCTGTTCGGGAGTTTTCCTATAATAATTCTGTTTCCATGAAGTACTATCAACATTATATGGTGCATAAGTGGTAGTTACTCAGGAAGATTGTGGGGCTCGTCAGTCAAGTGTGAAGTGCTTTAAGAGAGCTGAAGAAAGGGGTGCTGCCAGTTCATATTTTTTGATGGACCCCAGATGTTTAGTGTTCTTATTGTGGAAGACTTGGTCTCCTGTACATCTCAAAGTTTGTATTTACCTTTTTCTGCACCTTACTAATTTTTCTATTTTTAAAAAAATGCTTCGCTTTCCTAAATAGGAAAGCAGTAAGTGCTCAATGTGGACCACAGAAAGGCAGTAAGTCACCTATGATCTCACCCAAGGTGAAGACGTTTTACACCTTTTGTTCGTGTATAACAATAGCCTTCTGAATCTTAGGCAGCGTTTTTCACACATCCCCAGACCTCTCTAAACCCATAAGATGTTAAAGATCGTATGTTATTCAGCAAGTTCACAGGGAAATGGAATTACGGGGATGTAGGAAAGCTGTACCCCGCAAATGGTACGCGTGTATCTGGGGTTCTCTTTAGCAATACTCTTTGCTCCCCAAACACTCAGCTCCTCACCCACCTGGCAGACAGGCACCAAGGACAAGAGAACAAGCGGGTAGGGGCGGAGCTTTCGATGATTGCGGGTGGGAGGAGGAGCTACCGTGCAGTCACCAATCAGGGATCGGCTTTGTTTTCCCTTACCGACCAATGACGCAGTTCTGCTGAAGAACCGACCTCAGCTCTGAAACGCCTATTCCTTTGGCAGCCTATCAGCGGGGGCCTCTTACAAAGTATCTGCAGCGTCCCCGCCTAGTGGGCGGTGCTTCCCCGCCCCTCCGCCCGTGTCCCCGCCCTTCCGAGGGAGAGGGCCCAGTGGGTTACTCGCTGGGCTGGATGTGGGCGCTGGGCTCCCTCTGGGCTCCTCCATTCAGCGCCCGCCGCGGCGGAACTTAGCCGCTGGCTCCTGATTGTTCTTTGCAGTGGAGGTGGTCTCTGCTTCCTTGTCTCCAGGTCCCGGGCTGCAGGGGCCAGAGCTTGCGCACCTCCTGCGGACCACGGCTGCCCAGAGCAGGTAATGGGGCGCCGGGGATTGCAGCGCCCATCCGAGCCCTCGGCTCGGTGGAGCGGTGAGGTCTGCTTTGCCCTCGTTGCTCCCGCCGCTGGCGACCGGGCCGAGGCCGTGATCCCCGGAGCCTCCCTCCGACCTCGAGGCGGCTCCGCCCGGGAGCCCGTGGGGGCACCGGGGCCGCACCTTGCGGGGAGGTGGGGGGCGGGGTCGCGCGGGCGGGGGCAGGGGGCTGGCGGTGGAGGGGAAGGGATTGCGGGGGCGGCTGCGGGTCCCCTTGGGGACCCCGCGCAGCTCTGGGGACCGCGAGGCGAGCGACGTGCAGGTGGAGGGAAAACTGCCGAGTGTTAGTCAGGCTCCCGAGGGAGAGGGACCTGCTGCTAAGCCGCGGTAAACTGATTTTTTCCCTTAAGCAAAAAGGCGTTCTTACTTGGGTCGGTTAATTAACATTTTTTCTGGAGCCTGGAGCCTGGAGCCTGGCAGTGAGAATTACAAGTTGACGTTATTTATTTGTCACTTACTTAGTTTTTAAAATTCGAAGTAGCCCTCAACTTGAACTTGGTTGGAGGCCCTAAGTGACAAGCAGACCCAGCAGTGTGACTCACCTTTGTCTGGGCTGAAGTGGGGGCAGGAAGGGTGAGAGAGGAATGAAGAGGAAGGTTCTTGAATGCCTGTGCAGGTTTGGAAGGACTGTGGGGGTGGGACCTTGCTGTCACTTTCATGGTGGGAAGTAAAATTGTGATTTAAATTTATTTTTTGTTGTTTGTGATTTTTACCAGCAGCATTGAAATAAAAAGCCTCTGTGAAAGCAACCTCTGGACTTGAAGCTTTGGGGATGGTACTCATGCCAGTCATCCTTAGCAGAGAAGCCCTAGGAAATGCAGTCCATGACTGAATTTCTTTGCCCTCCTCAATATAGCATTTATTCTCATGTGCATTGATGAAAGTCACCAAGTTTTAGCAGTAATGGCACAGTGATGGCTTTTCTCCCTGTCCAGATCCACTCAGTTCTACAAGACAGGATTTCCATTTAGGTTTGTTAATGGAGAAACTTGAGGGAGGTTGTGCACAGCATGCCCATTTTACAGGGACACCACCTGAAAGAAAGCTCTAGAGATGAAACGAATCATACCCCAGTCACTTATACCTGGATTTCATCTGAGATCTGGATTAGGTTCCCACCATCAAGGAAGCTTCTGCATACTGATTAGCACAGTACAGGAGACAGAGATGATTATTTTGAAGTAAAGAAATATTGTGTCTTAGGTTTCTTTTTTCCTCCTGAATTGCTAAGGTAGTTTGAATTTCACCAGAAAGCTTATTTTCCACATAGGGGAAAACAACAAAAACAAAAAACCCCCAAACTTGGTGGTGCTATGTGAGAATCTTTCTTAAATTGGCAGGGGGGGGGGTCTTTCCAAATTTGAACTTTTATGGTTGCACACCTAGTTTAGCAGTGGATTTCAGTGCTGTTTGTGAGTTGAAATAGTGAATGTGTGTAAGGAAAACAGTGTGGTGAATTTTGGTCAAGACTTAAGACTTTGAGGAAATCTTTACTATAACTCTATAGAAGGGCAAATGCAGCATTTTCTTAATTAGAATAACTCCAGCAAGGGAGTTTAGGGGTCAGTGTGGAGCAGGTCCAGAGGAACACTTGGGGGTGACCTTGAAGATGTGAAGGCTTAGATAACTCCAGAGAATTGTTAGGTTTTGTTTGAAGATATTTCTTATGGAGAACATGGAAATGTCTTATGCACTACTGAATGATACTGTTCTGTATCATGAAGTAATCCCTTGTTTTGTGGCTAATACATTTGAGGCATGTTACAGGTACATTTTGACATAACTTGTGCAACATGCAAGGCATCCCTTACACAAGTTCCCTCAGCCTACCCCTGCATTTCTTTCTTTATGCTTTAGTGCCTTTTCTTAACTTTTATTCTCCTGTCAGTTGAAAATTCCTAGCACTCATGCTAAAATTTCCATAACAAAGCTTGTATCATATGTTGATTTATAAAGAGAACAAGTCTTTCTTCTGATCAACCCAACCCTACTGCAGTGTTGGAAAGAGAGTTTGGCTCTCCGTTAATTGTTTACTTGTATTCTTACCTGAGTGGTCTTCTGCTGTGCTTTACAGGTTTTTGCATGTTTTCTTTCTTTTTAAAAAACATTATTTAAAAAACGTACAACTTCTATTAGAAGGTGCACCAAGTGCTGCTTGCTAGAGATTTTAGACACATTATTACTATTTTTATCAAACACCCCACTGACAAAGATACAAGTGTACTACAACTGTGTCCATCATAGCAGTGAATGACTTAAGTGAGTTTTATTAAATGAGATTATTTGGAATGACAAGGTGGTTTAACAAGAAGGAAATTGTTAGTAATTTCATCAATCACCTCTACTCTAAAGCTTTCTAGTGTTCCTTGTGGTCAGGAACCCAGATGAGAATGTACATTTATTGGTCCTTATTTATGTAAACTTTAATTTTTTTTAATGGCTTCTTTTGTCTAAACCTTATATAACCTGGGAGTGAGCTATTTGACCGTATTGTTACTTGCTTGTTTAAATTACTGAGTCTTTAAAAGAAGTGGTAAAGTGGCATGTGTAGCAAGATCATTTGCTACCTACTGAGAACAGATATTTAAGTAAAAAATCTTTCTTCCAAGCATGTAAGATTTTTCTCCTGAACTTTCATTAACAGATCTTTCTTACAGGTGACTGTTGTGAGATTAGCTTGCTTTACTTAAGAGAGAGAAGGGAATATTCTTCTTCTTACGATAGTCCTTAGTAGTCTGGCTTGTTATTGATGGATTGCTTGTCCAGGTTGTTACAGAAGAGAGATGCTATAACATAGGTGTTGCTTTAATAAAAGAAATACCCATTTTAGGTCCAGAAATGACAATGTTTGTGGAGAATAAGGACTACCTGGGATGATTGCATTTTGGGAGCTACTTTGAAGAAAACACTGGCTTTTACAATTCAAGATAGGAATTTAAATGAGGAAGTTTCTAGGGGGATGGCATGTGTTTTAGTTTCATGGAAGTGTGGGTGGAGAGGAGAGCAATGAATTTGTTTCTGGGGACTACTTTTCAGGGGGGTTGATGGTCATTTGAGAGGCAGGAAATAAATGGAGTACACCTTTTTAGGTAGTGGCTTTTGGCAGTGCTGCCAGCCCTTGGATGCTTGTGAGCATCAGAAGGTGTGTGGGTGGTTGTAAGTGACCAGCCAGAGTGAAAGCTGCCCTGGATTGACTTCCAGGAGCTCTTCACCTTTGAATGACCTTAATCAAGTCCTTGAGTATTTTAAGTCTGGTTTTTAGCACTCTTGTGGTCCTGACTGGCTATACATTCTTTAGTCTTCAGGTTTGTGTTTTCAACTTTAGAAATAAATAGAGTTCTAAACCTTATAAGATTAATAAGTTGAGTATGCAGTTGAATAGTTTCCAAGAGTTATTTGGCTTATGATAGGTTCTGGAATTATAGTAGATGCTTGAATATACTTACTTCTCATACTATTTCTTCCTTTTTTTAAAGGCCTAATTAGTAATAGGCAAACATGAATCCACATACACATGTACTGCTCAAATTGAGAACTTGAGTTGGGAAAAAAGGCTCAGGTTTGACATAGCTTTGGAAAGAGAAGGGACAGGTAGGATGTTGTGAAGGTGTAGCAGGGGCAGGGATCAATCAGAACCTTTCCCTGTAACACATTCTGTAATAATGTCTAATGAATAAATTAGGTGCTGATTAGCTTTTTACTTGTGATTTAAAAACGCTCTGAAAAGACAGTTCCTTTAGATGTGTATTTAAAGCAATTTGAGTCTTAAGAATCAAATATTTCTGAGGGTTGTAACTTCTTTTTTTTGGTAATTGGAGCTTTGTTGAAGTGATGTAAAAATTTGGAATTGAGCCCAAGATAAGAAGGATTATGCAATTGGAGTTGTAGCCCAAGATTTATCAAGCTTCTACTGCCCGTATTCAAAAACTTTTTTCTTACTACTATGGTTTGTGATTTACCCTCCAAAGAATTAGTGAGAATATTTGAATTTAGCTCAGTTCCTAGTAAGGCTTACAGAGTATACAGTCTCTCTGTGTATTCTCTGGGATTTGGTTCCAAGACCCACCCTAGATACTGAAATCTACGGATGTATGCTCAAGCGCCCCATATAAAATGGCAGAGTTTTTGCATGTAACCAAGGAGCACATTCTCTCTGTGCTTTATTTACATCATATTTTGTACTGGTACACTACAGTGTAAATATTATATAAATAGTTGTATTGTTTAGGGAATAGCAAGAAAAAAATGCCTATATTTTGTTTACTGCACAGTCATTGCACACCATCTCCTCTCCCTGATATTTTTGATCCACAGTTGATTGAATCCTAGATGTGGAACCTTTGGGCACTGAGGATCATCTGTACTTTTTAAACATTTATTTATTTATTTAGTGGGCTTGGATTATACTTTTTGCATGTGGTATAATTGGAGTACAGAGTAGGAGTAGGCATTTTCTCAGGTTAGAGGAGAAGTTGCTGTGCTGTAAGTAGTGAGGAAATGAATGAACATTATTTTGATTTATTGTCATTTAAAATGGGGTAAAAAACCTTCTACATTGTGCATTTTTCAAAATGGTAATCATTTCACTTTTGACATTAAACTTAACATGAAAAACTTAGACCAGAGGTTCTAAACTTTGGCATGACCCCACCTCACCTGGAGAGCTTGTTAAACCTTGGTTGGCTGCCCTCTTTCCCACGTCTGATTCAGTGGGTCTGAGCTGCTTGCCCTTCTAGTAAGTTCTAAACTAGTGGTGGTCCTGCTGGTCCAGGGCCCATACTTGGAAAATCATTGAGTAGATCATGTGGGGATATAAGTGTTGTTGTTAACACAGACTTTGAAGTTTGAATGATGTTGATTTGAATTCTGCCCTGCTTATTAGTTTTTTGACTTCAGGCAAGTTTGTTAACCTCTGTTTTTCATCTCCAAAGTGGAAATAATAT